CCCCCCCTCTAAAATCAATTCTCTCCTGGAGATCGTCTTCGTGAGCCTCTCATGATTTCAGGATAGTTGAAACCCTCTTGAACATTCAGAAAGAGTGAATATGAAATTCTAATCACGAAAGGTGTTCTGTGAAGCACGTCAATTCTCTCCTGGGGAGCGTCTTCGTGAGCCTCTTATGGTTTCAGGATAGTTCAAATCCTATGATGTTCCGATTCAATGCTCACCGATGATCTGAGCCATGGGGCAAGTTTGTTTTCCTAAGAATCTTTTTGAACATTTCGAGAGCACATGTTTGAACATTTAAAGTGCATATGAACATATATGTACGAAAGGTCGCCTCCGAGGGGATAAATCACCATGTCGAACATTGCATTTTTGTTCCTGCCTCTCGCGTTCTCTTCTCTTCCCGCTGTCCTACCTTTCGTGTCTCCCTCCTCTCAAGTAAGGTGAGGGAACGGAAAGGTGCATAGGTCGGCAAAACAGTATGGTTTAAAAATGGTTTCAAAAAGGCCTCGACGTCGATCTGTACATTCGGTGCGGTGACGAGCGCAGCTGCAGGAAAGTGGGTTTAGGGGAGGAAACGTGAAGGACCATGGAAACAAACCGATCAAAGTGGACAGCTTGTTCAAAAGTTCATTTGGCAGGTACGTGACTCCAGCGTCCCGGAGTCATATCACATCCGATCAGCAGTGTCTTTGTTAGGCAGTGACTGCTGAAAGGACCACTGCCCCCCTGCTTCAGTGGAACAAAGAGGTGGGAACATGGAAAACCCTTAGAACCAGGGTGTGGCACACACAACAAGCCGTGATCGGCGCACAGAGCGAGCGGTGGAAAACACGGATTTTTTGTGCAATGGTGAAGACCTGTCATGTAATGCAATCTCTGAGAGCTGTGGTGTGAAAAACTGTGAAATCTGAAATCTGTCAAATGGCTGCGGTTAAAAGTTGATGGAGTGATCAAACGCACAAGTGGAAGAAATTCAGAAATCAAAGGTGGGAAATCCATCGTTTATAGCCCGGCGGCTCGAAAATCAGGAAATTCAGGGATAAAATGGAAACCGTGGAATCAGTTATGAAAGTGGAGAACAGTGAATTCCGGCATGGCTTCGGCGCCTCCTTTCGGAGGGTCACACCCAGTACCCACGTGGGAAGACTGAGCGGTCCACACTGCGAACTTGGGTTTTCAGTTAGACTCAATTGCCACGATGGGAAGTAAGGTGAGGGAACGGAAAGGTGCATAGGTCGGCAAAACAGTATGGTTTAAAAATGGTTTCAAAAAGGCCTCGAAGTCGATCTGTACATTCGGTGCGGTGACGAGCGCAGCTGCAGGAAAGTGGGTTTAGGGGAGGAAACGTGAAGGACCATGGAAACAAACCGATCAACGTGGACAGCTTGTTCAAAAGTTCATTTGGCAGGTACGTGACTCCAGCGTCCCGGAGTCATATCACATCCGATCAGCAGTGTCTTTGTTAGGCAGTGACTGCTGAAAGGACCACTGCCCCCCTGCTTCAGTGGAACAAAGAGGTGGGAACATGGAAAACCCTTAGAACCAGGGTGTGACACACACACACACACACACACACACCGGGCTGCACGTGGGCTTTGCAGCTCTTCCTGCCTGTTCCAGGCTGATACACTCATCTCAACAATCCTGGCCGCTTAACCCCTGATGCAAGACGATCAGCTTCACTGCCAAATCCCGGCGGTTCGGCCAGGGCCGAGAGATCATTCCAAGGTATTCCCATCCGGAGGGTCGCTTGGTCGATGAGAATCCCAGCAAGGCATTGTGTGTCTCGGCATCTTCAGCCGGTTGGGTGCCGGTGGGCCGTTTTGGGGTTTGCGCGGACCCGCCGTTGCACTTAGCAAGTGGGAGCTTCTCAAGAATTGTTGCATCCTCAGGAGGTGAGATCACTTGGTTGGGCCTTTTTGGGCTGCATGTGCAAACACATGGACAGTAAACACATGGACAGTAACATGTTTCCTCTACCAGTGGTTGTTTACTTTGTCGCCGTTTCTCCATTGTCGTGAGGGTGAGCGACCGGTTCGTAAGACTTGAGGGTTGTTTGATTCGACGGAAACTGCTGGGGCGATCCAATCATCGCACACTTGATGCGAATGAGAATGCGAATGAGATGAACACTTTGGCACCAATCCAAACACACCAACCCGCTAAAGTGTGGCACCGACTGACCCAATAAAGGAGGACGAATGGCTGTTGGAACCTTCGGACCTCCCTTCCTTCCCGGTCGCCACGAGCGTTTCTAGCCGCTACAGCCGCTGCTGCGTCGGGTGATGTCGGGTGCATTCCCCCACGACCTGGCCATTTGGGTAATTTTCCTTTGGGATGAGCATTCCATAGCTCGCCAGCCCGTCCTTGAGACTGAGAGACTGCACAAAACCCGGGAACCCGGGATCATCAGTTGATGCAAGGTGATTGGGGTGTGAACTGCGATAAGCTGGACTGCTGGCAGCTTCATCCCCCTGACGCCCGACTGCGACTGAGTCCTGCGGGCTGGGAGGAATCCATGGGATTCTGTTGGGAAAGTGAATGCGCTATAGACACAGAATGACAGAAATATTATGAAATATGTATTATATATGTTTATATATAAGTTCTGTAGGTTATATACTTGCGGGTCGTTGAACAAATAGTTGCAGGTTGCATGTCCGCAGTCATCTCGATTTCTTACCACTTGTTTCCAGGCTTATTGGCTGTCCATGCCAGCTGCATGGGCCTTTCATTGCACACTATTGTGCACTGGTGTTCTTTTCTCATGGGCGCGGGCAGAATTGGAACACCGCACACGTGTGTCACGTGTGGTAGTTGTGCATCATTGTTGTCACCTGCGCCCAGATGCGCCCAGTAGGAGCAACTGGCAGGTGAGATTGTCTTATTTTTCTAGGGGGTGATTTGGTACATACAAACTACTGTATTATACACCAATATCGCAACTTATACAGTTATGTATAATATATACATGTTATATTATATAATATTATATATATATGGTTACATTATTGATCCTTATTGCATTTGTTCCTTAATGTACATGTATAACAAATGATAGTTAATATTATAAACTATATGTATAACAGTATGTGTATTACACAAGGAGCCACAATTTGCTTGTTTTGTGTATGTATATATTTATATATATAGATGCATATGTTTGCAAGGGCATATGCCAAGTGATATACCTTTGCCCAGCCAGCTGACGAACAACTGGAGGAACGGGATGCCAAAGCGCCTTGGTGAGAAGAGGAGGAGAGCAGCGACACCTACGGGATGAAAATCATTAGTAGAACACACTTCGTAGAAGTGACCAAGCGGCCATAACCACTAGAGTTTACTTAAAGGATGTCAAGCAGACTGCCTAAAGAACATGAAGGCCGCCAAAAATCTCATCAATCAGCTGTGCCCGGAACGGAACTCCAAGTTGTCCACAGAGTTCAGACAACACTCCGCCTCCGCCTCCGCCCACCGCGCAGCTCAAGGTGGCGCACGTGCAGCCCTCGGACTTTGTGCTTTTCCTCGACGAGCTCTCCATGCCATCACGGCCGCAGCTGCAGCCAGACCCCTCGGATCGGGAGGTCGGGTTGGGCCAAGGCTGTTTGTTCGCATCATTTGGTGGGTTGGAAGCAACAAACAGCACAAGGCTTGTGATCCTCAGCTCTTGGGGGTTTTCACTCTTCGAGGCTGGGGTAAAAGTGATGATCCCACTGGTGCAGTTGACCCCAGGAATTGGCAGTTCCTGTCCAGTCTGAAGCACACCGACTTGCACAGGTCTTCATTGATCCGTTACCTGGAGATCCAGGCTCTGAGGAGCTGCAGCAGTTTTTGGCTGCCTTCGGCGACTTCGAAGAGGCTTCCCGCCCTGACTAGGTGGCACGTGTGATTTGCGCAGTTCTTCTTTTCGACGGCCGCTGGCCTGGTATCTTAGGTGGGCAGGGTTGGGGTTGTGGAGAGTGTTTGGGAGCATGATATGGACGGTGATCATGAGTGGTTGAGAGAAGTGAGAGAGGTGATATAGCTGTCCTTCTCTTATTGATGGGAGGTATGAACACAAGACCACAAACAGATGGTGTCAACACAGCGTTCTTTCGGATCTCGCGCGAGCAGTTATTAACGCATCTTATGGTCCAAGAGCAATCGCTGATCGCGTCAGAGCACTTAGGTTTTGAGAACCACAGTGACGATTTGAAGCAAGAGAGACCAGAGACATCAAACGATCAAAAGCCCTCAACGACTAGAGTCCTATGGTCCCTTGCAACCCTCAATGATTCTGGAGTAGACTTAAGACTCAAGACTTGAGCGATCGCCGCTGGTGCCCATTCTCCCAGTTGTCGATCTACCTGACCGCACCAGCCGGTGCCCACGTGGCCGGTGCCCGTGGCCCGGCACCGCCCTTCGCTTCCCACCGGCCATGGCGGCGGAGCCTCGCACCATGGAGCGAGGCTGGAGCGAAGCGACAGAAGTCTCGTGGCTTTCGCTTTGGTCAAGACATGGCGAAGCAGTTCATGTACGAAATACATGGACATACATGGACATACCACATATTTCAAGCTACAGTAAAGGGCCTAGCATCCCGGTTTTCTTGTGGTTCAATTTTTGACAAGCGGTGGCCGTTTGGGTTGACAATGCTGGGTCTGAGAGATGTGTTTCTTGCAGTGTGAGTGGTTCTCATCGCTAGGCTCCGGCCATGCATGCCGATTTGCGACACTACAGCCAGACGCTGAAGTCCTACACTAAAGGAGCTGACTGGCAAGCTGCCTTGCTTTTGCTAGATGACCTAGACAAAGCCGGTGCAGCCAATGTCATTCTGTACAGCACCCTGTCAAATGATTGAATTCAAAGTTATTTTGGCTATGACAAACGGGCCTCCACAAGAAGCCTTTCATATCATTGGAACCACTGGTTCCAGTAGCGTTTGAATCAAAAAAAGAAGTAGAACATTCAATTTCCACAAAGGGCATGTTGTTCTTGTTTCAGTGTCCAGTGTCCGACTTGGGATGTCTCGCTCGTCTCCAAAACACGAAAAAAACAACTGAAAGCGTCGACCAATAATCATACAGCAGCAAGTCGTTCTCGTCCTCGACAAGGTGTGGCTGTGACCTCGTGTGAGCGTGGTCAGCAGTTGGCGCTGGGCATCTCCTTGCTTCGGCGGGCGGAACGGCAGTGCCTTTGGCTGCCTTTGGCCAAGGGCCATACTGTGGCCATGCTTGCTTGCCTCCCACCAGGTCTACAGAATATGTTGTATGTCTCATGCTGAATGATGCTGAATGTATATTACAGTAATGATATCTCTTTATATATATATATATGTTATACCGTATGCATCCATCCACCTAATTAATGGAAGAATCAAAAAGAACCAATGTTGAGGGAAAAAACGTGTCACACTTGGGTCCCAACTGGGAATGTTCGAGCTTGGAGAGGTGAACGTGTTCTTCAGCTGACTTGTTTTTGCGCAGACCGAAGGAAGATTCAGCCCGACACAGTCATGTACAACACTCTCATCAGCAGCTGTGCCACGAGTGCCTTGCCATGCCAGTGCTCAATGTTGCCCATGACCATGAGAGGTGTGTGTTGCCCTTTAAGATCCAACCATGTATATACAATATTGTTCCATTATTTGCAACAGTCAGTAAGCAGTTATAACTTCTTTAAAGGCAGGGCTTTACTAACCATCATCATCATCATCATCATCATCATCATCCATTGTTACTGGTAGTCGGATAAGCCCAAAATATATCCTTCTCCTTTTCTTAAGAGAACTGTGGGGATTAATGGTAGAAGGGGGCTACTGCGATGAGGTGATGAAGTAAATGAAGCGTACGTACCAAACTTTTCCTTTTCAGCCTGAGGTTCTCAATGGCCATGCTGCGTTCACGTCCTCAGCCAATTGAAGCAAGCGGCCGTTCCAGCGGATGTGATTTCCTTCAATTCCGCTCTCAAAGGGTTTCGCTGTACCAGTGTGTGGTTCAATGCTCTCATTTTGCAACAGCAAATTGGCCAGGCCCGTCTTCAAGTGACTTGGCCTGGGAGCCTTTTGGTGGTTCATCCGGGGAATCCACGATTTGAGAAGTTCTGTGAAAGTGAAGCTAAGCTGTATAGTTTCCGTGTTTTCTTTTTTTCGATTCAACCGGGTCTAAACTATCCAAAAAACTGTCCAAACTAGTTGCATGCTTGGCAAACAACATGTTATTTGTCTCAAAACCCAGCTCTTGGAATCCACGACGCGTCTCACGCGTCTCTCGCGCGACGGATTTGAGGCGTCGGTGGTGACGATGAACTCGATCATCAGCTGTGATGCTGGCTGGCCTCGGGCACTTGAGTCATTTGCATGGCTTCAGCAAGAGAAGTTGCCAGCGGATTTGGTGACTTACAATGCAGTTCCTGGTCTGAAATAGTTCCTGGTATGAAATGATAATATATACAAGAATCACATCCAGTGCAACCGCCCGGAGAAATCCCGGAGGCCCCCCCAGCACAACCCACAAATCAGGTCAAGCTTACATTGTCCAACAAGTATGTGTGTGTGTGTGCACATCTTGGATGGAATTTGTTTTGCAGCTTATCGCCAGGTTCACAGACTTTATAAGTCTTTATATGTTTCTACCAGTGTCTAACGGAGTCCAGGACCTTTGGTCTTCTTTTGCAGGCTACGTGCTGTGCGATGCCTTGTGGGTGCACGGTGGGCTCGTAGCTGTGCAGTGTCACAGATGTGTGCGTTTGCCCAATACCTGGAAAATAGTCCCTGGACAGATGTGTTTTCCCCTTAATTACAAGCAGGGGGTTGTCCACTTCCATGTTTGTTGGAGGGAGGGTGCACAATTGGGCAACCGGGTGCACCAAGTGCCGCACAATCCGACCACAAGTTACCAATAGGACAAGAGGACGCAATACACTGATTGAATGCGTCGTGGAAGTGGAAAACCACATGTTGGTATATAGATTCTATGATGAGTCAATGATAATTATATACGTCATTTTTTGAGAGCGCAAATGCAAGACCAAAGTATTGCAATCACGATGTTGTTTTTTTTTGGGATGCTGGCCTTTGCTCATGTTTTGACAATCCTCAGGAAATACAGAAGCAGCGAAGGGTATTCGCATGTATTCGCTGCATGTTGGGGCGACCAAACATCTCCTTGGACTGTGAATAAGGCTCTTTTCTACTTATCAAGGATCTTTCTCCACCCTGAAAGAACCTCCGATGCTCAGTTTCTGAAGTCATGTGCGGCTTCAGGTCCAGGCTGCTTCTCCATGGCCGCGCGCTTTCAGCTTCCTTCGAAGCATTCGCAGAGAAGGGTTGGAGCCAGATGTTGTGACGTCTGGAGCTCTTGTGGCTGGGAGTCGTTCCTTGGCAATAGGTTCAGGTTCAGAGTTGAACACCCGGCGCATATAGCCAATATTTTTGTATTCTTTTTGGACAATCGGATAATCTACAATAATTTGCTCGTTTCACCAGCCTTTGATGCATGCTTGCAGGTGTAAGCTAAGCTGGGGCCATTCTCATAGAGATGGACGATACAACAAAAACCAGTAATGTTGGAACTTAAATAGCAAAGGCCGTCCCCCCCTCCCCCTAGCAAACCATGGAGGGAGTTTGAATAGCATTGGTGGCAAGTAGTGGTTGTGGTGGTGGTGGTGGTCGGATACTGTTCTAGTGCAAAACAACTGTTTATTATTCCCCACCCCTAAACAATGCGTACTATTCACTTTCCCTGGGCTTGTGCACTACCCCCTTGAAAAATTGTTTGGAGCAATGAAATCGTTGAGTCTCAATAAGCGTTTTTGAAACCGGTTTCCAGGTCAGAATTCCATGAATCAAGCAAACCTCAGAAGAGTTAAGTAAGGAATTTGAGGGCAGCAATATCACAACAATAGACATGTAAACAGAAGAAACACAGCGGGAAAGAGCAACTTATATTGCCATTCCCTCCCATTAAACTATTCAGGGTGTTGGAATAAGTTTGCAAACACTTTTTGTATTTGCTCCTATTTGACTGATTAGTACCCGACATTATAAACCCTATGCTATGCTGATGCCCCTCGGTGACACAAATACATTTCTATCCTTGCATTGATCCTGTAGCCTGGGTATGCCTTGGTCAGTGTGATTCTTAAATGTACATTAGTACTGCATGCATGTGTGAGTGTACATACATATACATATATATGTGGGTTGGGGGTTGTATCACAATACGGTAGGTTGAAATCCAAAAGACCCCCTGAAAGAAGGAACATCGACCCAAACCCATTGGTTCGTGGTCCCCCTATTAATATACACACCCATATTGTATGTGTATATATAATATGTATTGTGCCTACACGGGGCTGGAGAGTTCAATTTGTCAATGCCAGGCTGGGAGTGGTCTTTGCAGCATCTTCAGTCTGATGCTTGACGCATCAGTTGATGGCCACCTTCAATGTTCCGCCATATCTGATCTGCAACTATCAATGTTAGATGATGTTTGAGGACCCAATATATGTTGCCAAGTTGCCAAAGTGAAGCAGTGTTCAGTACCCCTACCTACGCAGTGGCTTTGGAACGAGCAGTTTTGGTTTGGGAGGTGACGTCAGAAGGTGAAGGCATTGGCGCTGCTGCAAATGCCAGGAGCCCCTAGTAGCATCCTTGCTCCTAGTAGCAATGCCAGGAGCCCCTAGTAGCGTCCTTGCCCCTAGTAGTAAATAGTAAGGCCAGGAGCCCCTAGTAGCAAATTTTGGATGAGGTTGGGGTGCTTTGATAACTGCACTGCGGCAAAATAGAAGGCAAACTTCTTCATGTTTTAAAGAAGTGAACTTCCATTCCATCAAACATCATCAACCGCTCGAGATTTCCACAGGCTTGTCCTTCCTTCAAACTCAATTGATATGTACTTTAACTTTAATGAATACGACTTATGCTCAGGCATGTCTTTGAGCCACATACTCTGCGAATTTTGCAGACAGTTCTGGCTCATCTTTGCCGAGCAATCGAAAGAGAACCACCCTCCTTTCGTTCTGGGCCCGGGGTGTTTGATCGAATGTGGTTTAAGCTGCAGAGACACAGACAGATGTAATCCAAGTGTCACAAGGAAGACCCAAAGAATGTTAGCTGTTTGCTACTACAGCATCGCTTCGGTTCTTCATAACCCCCGAAAGAGAACGGGTGCATTGAGCCCAATATGCCCGGGACAAGATCGCTGGTGGAAGTAGAGGACCAAAAAATCAGCACCCGCCAGTGTTAGTTTCGGTTGGATATGTGATGATTTCTGATGTTGTCCAATGCTGGGAATTGATTTCCAAGGACTTCCCCACCAATGCGGTGGCCTACAACGCCTGCTTGGCGCTTCTTCCGTGGCATGGGGCCATGCATGTGTTAAAACTTATTCGATTCCAACAGCTGCGGGTGACGGCCAGAGGCTTGGCATGTGTCAAACAAAAGGTGGTTACTCAAGGGTTTTGCAACTAATTAGATGTTCAAGGCTCACCGTTTTATAGCTGGCAGGTTGGAAGTCATTCTGACGTTTCTGCCCCCCGCACTCTTTATGTTTTGCAGCTGCCTTTGATGGCTGTTTCTGGCCAAAAAAAGCCCAGGAACTCACAACATCCTTTTGTCCACGGCACGCGCAGCGGGACGATGGAAGGCTGGTTTTCATGCAGTGGAGCAGCGGCGGGGCCTGGGATTGGCAGAGGACCAGGTGACCTGCCACATATCGATGAAACTTTGTGATTGGGCCTTTGCCACCCAGCTTCTGCGCAGAATGCACCTTGATGTTGTGGGGTGGGCTTCGAGACGGTCGAGACTTAGAAGAGCGGTGACTGGAGCTGTGCGTGATAGTATCGAGTCTTTGTGGCAGGATCGATCTTATCTCAGTTGTTTTGGCAACGTCGCTCAGATCGATCTTTGAACGTGCTTGGTGGGCTCCTGGGCTCCTCGGTCCACCCTGGCAGGATTTGGTTGACTCCCCTGTCTTGCGGTTATTACCTAAATCAATCTAAATCATTTTAATCCAAAAAGTCTAGCATAGGTTGTGCAGGATCTTGAAAACAGAGATAAACAGAGAATAACCATGAAGAACCCTACAGACCAGGAGTTCCAATGGTACTATGAAGTGGTGTTCTTTTACAGAGAGTCTCGCTCTTTTTGTTCCTTTCTCTCTCTCTCCCTCCCTCCGTCTCTCTCTCTCTCTCTGTGTCTCTCCCTCTCTCCTCACCACATGCACAACAATCATGGACACCGCTGAAACACATCAATCAGTGGACTAATTGCCGGATCAGATTCTACTTTGCCGGATCAGCGTCCAGGATCAGATTCTTAGGGTTTTAGGTTTAGTGTTCAAATGCCGATCTGACCAAGTGGATTCCGATCCCACGATTCCGATCCGACCAACACCCTCAATCAGTGTCCATGTCGCTTTGCGCTAGCTCGCCCTGCTCTCTGACTGAGGCAGGCCTTGACGTTGAGATCTGACCTCATCTCTTATAGCTCTTTGATGAGTCCCAGCTCCGGCCAGTCACTTGGTGGAACTGCAACAAATCCTAGATCGAATCGGTAGCTAGAACCCCTAGAGGAGATCAACAGCAGAAGAACCCGGAACAACGCCTAGGCGGCCCTAGCTTCAACGATTTCCAATTGGCTTGCAATGTTTCAGATGCGATTCTGTTTTTTTCTTTCATGATTCCATATGATTCGATGTCTTCTTGCGGTGTCAGTCGACACTCGGTTTCCCTCGTATTCCGAGGCCTTGGGAACTCTCCCTGGCGCTTCTCGCCCAGTTGCAGGGCATCTCCTTGGAGCGGGACCTCATGGTACAGAACACGGTGACGAGTCACTGAGATCAATCACTGTGAAGATGAAACCACTATGGATCCACTATGGGCAAAACAATGGTGATCCGTCAATCCACCATGGATGAAACATGATAAACATTAACGACTAAATATATATAGCTATATATAATATATTCACTTCAATCGGGAATGTACCTGGGGATGCATATGTGATTTTTATGCTGCTCCCCGACATCCATCAAGCAAGCTTGGGGAAAGAACCCCCAACCTGCACAGCGTAACAACTCCAAGGCGCTTTCCTTTGGTCAGATTCCTTGTACAAAATATATGTGCTTAATTGCAGACCTTTGTTGCTTTGTCAACAAGACGTTTGAACTTTCTCATGCCCATTGTCCTGCCCCAGCATGCACACACAAATGCAAATAGCCGGCCATCGCAGCTTCACCTCCCATCATCCAGTCAGAAAGACTTGACCCCTATATGTGCTGGTTGTACAAGGGCAACAGTTGCAGAGGAATCCTTCCTATAGTAATATATAGTTATAATATACATATACACGTACAACTGAATTCATTGCTGCTTCCTTCACTCCTTCACTACAAATCAATGACACCTGACACCGGCACGCTACAACTGCTGTGTTCTCCTTCTTGCCCACTCCTGGTGGAAAACCGGTGCCTTTTTTTCAATTTAGCCTAGCAAGTCGCATGACTCTGTACAAATTCTTCATCGATCACACATGTTCAGCCTGCATAGGAGCTTCCAAAAAGAACACATGCATAAAGGAGAACCGTACCAAAAATGCATATATCCCAGGTAGCATGCATCAACTCCACTGCACCCTTTGGTTTGTTGCCGGGTTCGAACAGAGGCTCGATCGCTGCAGACACCGCGTGGCAGCTGAGCGCATCTTTGCTGACACAGCTCCCATTGGTCCAGCTGCGCGTGGATGCGGTCGCCACTTGGGCCGGTGTCAAACGGCTGGCCATTTCGGCTGCCCCGTTCCGGTGTGACAGATTTTGGTGGATGGGGCGGGTGTCAATGGGGTTGTCCGGAGTTGGAGACAGCAAAGCCGCTTTTGGTTTGATACAGATTTTCCGAGCTTCGTGGACGCCACACGAGACCCGCTTCAAGGCCCTATACGGATGGTCAAGACCGATCCGTTCGCAGATGTGCCTCGCTGGTGACAAGTCAGCTGGATCCTTTATAGAATACCTGCACCGTACAAGATCATACAAGATCCAAACATATCAAACATCAGCCAGCGGCCCAACTTCATTCCGTGAAAGATCTGGCATCCTTTTTGACCCCTCATATGCAGAGGTCGGGAAACTGCAGGGATTGGCTGAAGAAGCCCAAGCAACAGCAAACATCAGGCCTACAGCGAGGTGGCGGTGGCACTGGCCCGTGGTGCTTTGTGGCAGAAGACGCTTCAAAGCCTCCTGGCAGAGTCTCCACAGTCTGATGGATTTCAGCCAAAGCCCGCTTGATAAATGTAGGTGGTTTGTGTTTCGGCACTAGAGTGACCCAAACATGTGCCCCTGACAGATCCACGGATTCTCCAACCAGCCGAGTTGCCCCGCAAGGGCACGCTGGGAACCCCTGCAGCAATGGTCCTGCAAGTTGGCTCAATCTCATGACATCATCATAGCATATCATACCTCTTGCCAAATGAAAGAGCGGCCACCGGGGAGCAGTTCAAACATGGCATTAACCTGGGCATGGGACCCACGCTAGAGATGCAAGTAGAAAAAGAAAGAACACACACTATTTGATACTATAATTACATTTTTTGGATATCGTTTGATATATCCGAGCAAGTCGATATATCTAAATGTAAATCGATAAATACATTTACTAATGCAATCTAATACATATACATATTTTTATGTGTATACACACTCAACTTCCAAGTTAACCACATTGTGGTCCTCAAGAAAATCCCATCAGCCAATCACTTCAGAACGTATCGCCATGGAATCCACTTTTGGCTCTACAAGTGCGTCGTGTGAGTGGCTCATGTGACATGGAGGATGAGGTCTACAGGGATCATTGCCTCATAATTGTTGGTGACGGAGGTCAAGCTGACAAGGTGTTGGCCAAGAGGCGTTTGGCAGCTGGCGGCCGTTTGGCCCACTTCCTGGTTCAAGATGAGCAGGTGAGGGCTTCTAGCTGAAAGGGTAGGGGAATTAGGGGAAGATCAAAGATGCGAATGATTAGTTTCAGTTGAACATGTTGAAGAAACCAGTTTTGATAGAGATTTTTTGGAATGATGGCACGCATCCCAGAAGGTCAAAGATTCAAGTTCAGTATCATCAGTCATCAGTATCTATATTGCAATTGTTGCGTCAGTTTGCATGGGCAAGCTTGTGCTTGAGGTGAAGATTGAGGATAGCATGGAAGGCACTATCTTTGCTTGGCACCCTCCTTATGGCATGAAAAACTCCACATTCGGGCGAAAGTTGGGAGCTTCCTTCAGGACGGAGCTGGAAAATCACGTGGGCTAGGAGGTCGGGAGGTTGGGAAAACTGACATCGCGTGGCTCGTTGTGCGAGGTTGTTGGCTTCAAACGTTCTTTCAAAAATGTACTGCTTTGAGGACTTACTGGACGACCACAGGCCCAGATTGCATGGAGGTGGCACCAGGGCAAACCTTGCACATTCGCACCGGGGAAAGGATGAGGCTGGTGCAGCTCGTGGACAATGGTTGCATTTTGGTTGAGACCTGGACGCAAGAGTTGGAAAAATGGTCCTGCTTATATTAAAGGCTTATATTGTATCTACAACATTGATCAATATTACAAAAATGTAAACATCAGTCAAGAGCGCGGTTTCAAAGACAGAGATCATGCTACTATATAGCCTTACGATCATAGTGTCATAGTGTTCCCTACTGCAACAGGAACAGGAACTCTCCCAGGGAAAAACAAACACATGTGGACGTGGAACAAAGAGAGGTATGTGCGTCATTGACCTTGAAGCGTATCGGAACTGGAACATGAACTGGAACCTTCCTCCCCCAGAGGAAAAACACCTAAAGTACTATATAGTACTTGAACCATTGCATCGGAACTAGAAGTGGATCTGGAACTGAAACTGGATCCTCCCTCCAACCACCCAGATACTTGGAACTGGAACTGGGACATGAACTTGAACCCCCCCTTGCACCTGGAACTGGATCTAGAACAGGAACTGGCTGGAACTGTTCATTCCAACCACCCGGGGCACACTCTGCTTATGATAGTGCAGAGGGGTTAACTGTTGCGTTTAAGTTTAGTCATGGACATTCCAACAAACTACATATTCTTTATTTACACACGATGCATTTGTCACACTTGTCGCTGGGTTTTTGCAAGAATTCCTTGAGTCTTTGGTTTTTGGTTGTGACTCATGGATTTAGACTCAGGAGATATCTGGTTTGGTGATCTACAAACCTGACTTGACCCTGGCACAGACCTTGGAGGTCGAGGCGCACAGACTTGGGAGGTCGAGGTGTTTTTTGCCATGCAATTGATGATGCAACGAAGCTACATGAAGCTATTGACTACATTTGATAGCTGTTCCAATGGGATTTGTGTTGATTCCTCAGGATTTGATACCTTTCCGGGGTGTGTTCATATGTTGGGATTTGGGTCTTTCCAAACGAATCCGAAAGATGGAAATGCCGCCACCTCCCCGTGGTTGATCGGCGCATTTGTCGCCGGTGGGAGGTTCGCAATCCTGAGCTCCGTGCTGCTGGGACCTTCTCTTGGCGCTATGTGCTGGGCTCGTGGCATGGCGTGAGGAAGTACGGGTCTCCAAAGATGGAATCCGCTTTGATTGGAATCCCCGGATCAATTCCTCGCAAGGTTTGCTGAACAGACGACTGTCATGTTCATCATGTTCAATTCTTCAATAGGCTTCATGTGGGGTATATAGTTATATTAGAGATATGGCGGGGTTGAATAGAACGTGTTGCCGTTTCCGTCACAGATGTGTTCTTGTTGCTCTCCCGTGAGATGCTTCAGATCATTCGCATATATTCACGACTGCCTCCTGGAAGACTGCCTTCTGGAACAAGGCCAGGCTAGACGACAATCGGCTGTCCCACTTACACACACTTATGGATATGTGTACCCTAGGGTACCATTTCCTAAGAGTACAAGTACGAACCACAGGATCCTCGAGGTCTTCAAAAGGAAATGGGCCCAAAAGCACAAGGCGAGGTCGAGACGACAGGGTGACGACGGCCGCTCACATTTGCAGATGCATTAGCACTTTACCAAAGGATTGAAATTTGCAGGTACGTCCAGCTGGCCAAGCTGGATATCCCATTTCACTGGTAGCTTCGTTGGACACAGTCCCAGTGAAATGCTGTGTCCCCCTGCTGAAAACAAAACGAATTACAATTCAAAAGAATCTCGGTGACTACAAGGGGCACACACACACACACGCCTCCCCGAGGGGAGGCGTAAAGCTAAGGTGAGGGCAAATGTGCGCGTGTGCGCGCACAAGAGACAAAAGAATGAAGACATGACAGGAGGACGAGACGGGACAAAGGTGCGTGTGGTTGAAATGAAAGGGGAACCAAGTGCACAGCGACACCCGATGAAGCCCACCTCATTGTAAAGACCTGGGCGACCTGAAACCTGTGTTGAAATGTACGTAGAAGTGCACGTACACACTAAGGCCGGGACCAATGTGTGCGCAAACGAAGAAAAGGATGAGATGACCAGACTTGAAGACAGGAGGACATGAAAGAAAAGAGGAAACAAAAGTGTATGAAGGGGAAGGGAGGAAAGGGGAACCAAATGGAGGGGACGAGAACCGATGAAGCCAAACCTCATTACAACGACCTAGAAAACCTGCCTCGTTTCAATGTACATGCTGTATGTGCACCCAAGGTCGCGACAGGTTCCAACGAACCTCAAAAGTACTTCGGTCGCTCTGACCACGTTGAGGCGTTAAGCCAGCTTGGACCGCTGCGGTCACGTAAAGGCATGAGCCAACTTGGAGTTCAATAATTCGTCAGGTCTTGGCAAGTAACTTTGGCATAAGCCTCCTACGCCCGCTCTGGGCACGTGCGTTTCCACGGCATTGGAAACAGAGACAGACACCCGATCGACGGGTCCACGGGAGGCACTCGACGGGCTCATCCCGGATATGTGTACGGACGGACAGCGGTGCCACACGCCGGCCTAGGGTACCATTTCCTAAGAGCACAAGTACGAACCACTGGGTCCTGGAGGTCTTCAAAAGGAAATGGGCCCAAAAGCACAAGGCGAGGTCGAGACGACAGGGTGACGACGGCCGCTCACATTTGCAGATGCATTAGCACTTTACCAAAGGATTGAAATTTGCAGGTACGTCCAGCTGGCCAAGCTGGATATCCCATTTCACTGGTAGCTTCGTTGGACACAGTCCCAGTGAAATGCTGTGTCCCCCTGCTGAAAACAAAACGAATTACAATTCAAAAGAATCCCGGTGACTACAAGGGGCACACTCTGACATGGGCTTTCTGTTAATCAATTCCCAGGTGGAAAGGTGAGGGAACAGCAAGGCGAAAAGTCCAAGAATTCGAAGATGTTTCAACAATGGTTTGGTGCACATCTGCAGTTCACGAACGCGCGGCAGCTGAAAGCGGCAGAAGGAGTAGGTTTAGGGGGAAGTATCGTGGAACCACTATGGAAACAAACAAGGAAAGAGTGGAGTCACAGCTTGTAGAAAAGTTCTCGCAGGTACACACGGGTGATCAATCCGTGCTTCCCACTCCAAGGCATAGCTTCGTTGCACTGAGTTTGCCAAGGAGTGCTCAGTGCCCCTGCTTGGAACCATGATTTCGATGTGAAAACCCTTAGGGACAGGGTTTGACACACACACACACACACACACACGGTGCCGCTTTGCGGCGCTCGTGCGAACGACCTGAATAGGTACCTAAAAAGCCTTAGAAACAAAAGAAAGAAACGCAGAAAGAGCAGCGGCTAAGAGGGCAAGAGAGAAAGGTAGGAGTAGAAAAAATTGAACGACCAAAAGCGCAAGAAGGAAAGTGGGGGGGCAGGGAGGTGTATGTACATGTGTGTGTCCGTGTGTGTGTGTGTATGAATACTTAGCACTCTAGAATTACTGATTACTTAGTGGAAGTGAATTAAATGCCATAGTTAGGGAGCGGGACTTTAGTCTTAGACCGCCCGGGTAGAGAAACCTAGAAAAAGGACAACAGAGGGAAAGGCACCGACACACAAGTGTGCCGAGTACCATTTCCCTCTGTTACCCTAATTAGTGGGTGGGAGGGGTTGGGGTGTTTGGGGTAGAAACCGCGTTTGGGTTCATTCTCCGTACAAGCCCGGCGGCTGTTGATTCAGTTAGTTGAAACCGTATAAGCCCGGCGGCTCGAAAGGCAGTCAATCCAGTGGTGAAAAGGAGTCAGTTAAGAAAATCCAAGGAATGATGGATCCGAAAAATCCATTACACGGTTTCCAGCATGGCTTCAGCGCCCCAGTGACGGGGATCACACCCAGCACCCAAGTGGGACGGCTGAGCGGTTCACACTCTGACATTGGTTTTCTGTTAATCAATTCCCAGGTGGAAAAAGGTGAGGGAACAGCAAGGCGAAAAGTCCAAGAATTTGAAGATGTTTCAACAATGGTTTGGTGCACATCTGCAGTTCACGAACGCGCGGCAGCTGAAAGCGGCAGAAGGAGAAGGTTTAGGGGGAAGTATCGTGGAACCACCATGGAAACAAACAAGGAAAGAGTGGAGTCACAGCTTGTAGAACAGTTCTTGCAGGTACACACGGGTGATCAATCCGTGCTTCCCACTCCAAGGCATAGCTTCGTTGCACTGAGTTTGCCAAGGGTTGCTCAGTGCCCCTGCTTGGAACCATGATTTCGAGGTGAAAACCCTTAGGGACAGGGTTTGACACACACACACACACACACGCACACACACCGAGTGTGAACCTTCAAGGTTCTTCCACGCCTTAAAAATTCACAGTGGCAATGCACCCTAGAAATTCTTGGCTTTGGTGATTGCATTGTGCGTGATGCAATCATGCATTTTTTAGAACATTTAGTTCAACTTGTAGAGGGGTGAGAGCCATGAACTTGTTATGGCAATAGATCGACAGATAAGGGAAGGGTTGGTAGAAAAAGAACATGCCACTTCCCTTCAAATTTCGGCATGTTCAGAGGAAAAAACTTACTTAGCCTAGCGACTTGGTAGCCACTGGAGTCTTGTCGAGCCAAGGATGGCCCTACAGCTCTTTTGGCATGTCATCCGATGGGTGGTGTCCATGCATTTTGAGCGAAAGTCCGTTGGTGAAAGTCCCTGGTGGCGTGGAGCTCTTGTGACTACGAATGGGGTCACTTTTTGCACTTGGGGTCTTTTCCATACATGGGCTGCCAGCCTTGCAGGTGAAGTTGGAACAGCCAGCGCCCAGAAACTTGTGCCCATCGTAGTTGTGATTCTTCCAATGGTGGCCATGGGCACAGCACAGCTTGCTGACTACCCACTCTCACTGGCTGGGCTGGCCATTATCTTTCTGGTTGGCCCGACCCTGCAATACTACCAGACACGTCCTGATCATCCGGAACGCCGTTTCCTTCCATGCTTTGTGTGGACCATCGCACAGTTGGTAGGAACCGTGGGAGTCTCTGCTCTTTTGGCCGTCATTGTGGTCTCCTACCGGCTGCTGGTCGCAAGCAGGCAACTGGTTTTGGCCTCATTCTTCTTGCCGGTGTGCACAGCTTTGGTTGAAACTGGAGGTGTGCTGTACACCAAGATCCTGTACGCTAGGCTGGTTGTTCAAAAGCGTCCATTTGTGCCAGGAGACATCTCATGGAGCGCCATGATATACATGATAACAGGGTCTCATGCATTTTCGGAGGGTGCACGACTGGTGGCGGTCTTCTCTGGCGCTGTGAGCACCGGTGCCTATGGTTGGGTGGGCAGTTTGGCAGCGACACTGGTGCTGAACGTGCTGGTACGATCAGGGTGGTTGCGCTATGGGTGCTACTGCATGGCGAAGAAGATCGTTGGCACAGAGCGCGCCTTTCACGCGTTGGCCCCCACGGCTTGGAGCAAACTCCATGATGAAATGAAGATCTATGGTGGATACTTCCGGTTTATTGTAGTCCTGTCTTTGGTGCTGGCGCGAGCACTGGTCTATCAGGAAGCTTCAACTGGGAGATCTCCTAGCTTCAACACCTCGGCAGCATGGGCCTTGGTCAGTATGCTCCTCATGGAATACCTGGAAGATCACATTGTGCTGTGGGAAGTGGTACCTATGAGCCCCATCACCTCCGAGTTGGTTGATGAAGAAGTGCACCGGGCAGCACATGTTGGTCAAGGAGCCTTGATAAGTCTGGATTTGAAGTCTGCGCAGTCGGCAGGTCCCTGGTGCCTAGACGAGTTGGACGACAACGGCTTTAAGCTTGTCAACCGTGCACAACCGTCCTCATCAGCCCTGCAGCTTGACAGAGCGTCTGACAAGAAGGCGGTCAAGTGTTCTTCAATCGTCCCAGTGTCTCCTGAAGGTGGAGAGGAATCGGGTAGTGAATCAGCTTTCAGGGAGCCAGCGTTGACATTGTCAGACGCCCGGCCGCCCCGGCCTCTCAACAAATCCTCCGGCTCTTCAGCCGTACCTCAGATGGTGTCCCACCCAGAGACTGGAAGAGCTGCGCAAGAGGATGCGCAGCAGGTTGACCAGCAGCCAGAGCAGCCAGCACCTGCGTGTGTACCACCGCCCATGCAAGAGCTTCGGATGTTGGACATGGAGGCCGAGATGCTAGGGCAGCCATGCTTACAAGCCTCCCTGGGCCCCTTGCGCACAAGCACGCCCTCACGAGTACGGCGGTGGTTTGGCCAGCAGCGGCACGTGGTGCCCTCCCTTTTGTTGCATGGACTGAGGGAGATGCCCTGGTTTGTCCAATTGAGCGCCGTTGGAATCACTTGCGAGGTCACGCTTGGTTTTCTCAACACGACTTTGGGTCCTGGCTATCTCCGAGGGATGATCACAGAACCTTGTCAAGACTTTGATGCTCTAGTAGTTCTTTGGTGGCCCACGCCCCTGGTTTGCTAAGCAACTGAGGAGCTGTCCCGGCCAGTTTAAGACTTTTCCCAGTGGTTCCAGCCATCAATTGTAGGCAACCAATTGAGCCCATGATCCATGGAGTTTGAATGTTTGCCCAACTGCCATCCACCCGCTTGACCGGTGCGTTGAATCCACCAGTCTTTTGGGTCCGGAGCTTCGTGATCCGTGCGATGTCCCGCCTTTCTGGCACCGGCGAAACACCACTCCGTGTCGACTGATTACGGGCGACTTGGCTTATGCGTCATCAGTTTTCAGAAGACTTGCACGCATTCCTACGAAGTGCGTATTGTGAAGGCAAGCTTTCAGTGAGTCCAATTAACAATGTAATCCACAACTGTGTTCCATTGTAGAGGTCCAATCCAAGGCCATTCTCCCAACAACTCAATCCGCTCCACGGTCCCACGGTCCACAACATACAAAGTGCATCAAAGTGCATGATCTTATCTCAATGATCTCCATCCATGGGCGCAATTGGGCTCCTGAGCTTGGGATATAGAGAGATAGGCTCCACATGTGGACCATACAAAGCTGGACGCACGCCTGTGGCCAAAAGAAGCGAAGATCACATACAACGTGGCTACTGATTTGCAGAGATGGCACTCGTGAGGTCAAGTGCAAAGGCTTGGCCATGATGATATCAGATGATCACATATGAGCACCATGTAGTTTTATTAGTAGCTTGATCAACCTTTTTCAGATTATGCAGCACTCCTGGCACTCCTCCAATTCTGATCGCATTTGGCAAACACGATGTTGAATGGCCTCATGTTCCACCCCTTCAGCGTGCCAAACGCGGCCAACACACCTATCCTTGGCACCAGTTTTGGTGGACATCGCGCATGAACATGGCATGAAGTTACATTCTTGTGTGTGACTCTTCCTGGCTGGATGTGTCCCCACCACTGCAATAGAACCTTTTAGAATCGTCTATCCACAAGCTTCGGGCCTCAAAAAGAAAAACACATCTTGACCAGGAGTTCCATCTTGGAATGGTTTCTTCCTGATAATTGTTTCTTCCCCCGGTGCACCCCTGGATGGCCTGGGTCCCGCTCCGCATGCGGCCTCCAACCCCCGAGTCCCGTCCCAGGTGCCTGGGGTGCCGGCCGGAGGGTGCGCCCGGTCGGAGTGGTCTCCTTCAATGCGGCCGTGAGCTCCATGGACCGACCGAGTGGTGAAGGGAAGAACGGAACACCACCGAGGGTCGAGGGTCGGTGGAGCACATGAGCTTCACAGGATCACCAGATATAAACATGGTAGTGAACATGGTAAAATGATTGTAAAACAATGCAAGAGGACATCCAAACATCATATCAATGACTTGTTTAAAGATCGTGTAGGATGCCCCCGGTGACAAAACACGACAAAACTACTTACTGTATAACAAGACTCTCTTAGCCGCCTTAGCCTTCAGGTCTGAACGAAGGTCACATGTTTGTGTTTGGCCCCATTTGGGTTGAGATCGTGATGGCATGTCATGTTTTAAGAGTTGTGTGAGTTGTACGCTGTACAACACGTTTTCACTTGAAGCACACCCGTCCGCACCGCAGGGCGGGCTTATGAGCTCAAAACAGGTTTCGGCCGCGACGCGCGCGAGCGCGTCCCAATTCGTTTTGCGGTGTGTCTTGGCCCTGTCGACTTCTACTTTCTTGGCCACCTGGACCTTGACTACACACCACCCGCTACGTTGGACCTCGTTTGCCATCGTTAGCTTCGCATTGGTAGCGGAGCCCAAACCCGTGAAGGGGGAGGGCTCCAGCTGCGCACTCCGGTTCCTCGAGCCGCACGCTCTCGACAAGTCCTTCGGTGACTTCCCTCTGCGGACTTGGCCACGCTCCTGTTTCCTGAGTTCTTTGTTGGACACCCTTTTGGGAGGAGCACGGCGGAGATCTTTGTCCCACAGAATGCCGCCGCCAAAGCAGCAGAAGGGAGATGGAAGAGGAGCGTCGAGCTCGACGACATCCAAGCCAGAAGAGACTGGCTATGCTGACCTTCGGGACTCCTATGTTCCCCTCTTCTCCGGGCAGCCGGCCGACTACAAGGAGTGGCGTCAACGCATCCAGCTCTACCACCGCAAGATGTCGCTCTCCAAACGGTCCCAAGAGAGTGTTTTGAACATTGTCGGATCGTTCAAGGGTGTAGTCTGGCGCCTATTTGAAGACTGGGGCATCGACAAGCTGGAGAAGGACAACGCCTTTGAAGACATGCTCAAGGTGTTGGATGGCAATTTCGCCTACGACCAACGGGTCCAGTTGCCATCGGACTTCGAAGGTTACTTCTCAGGTCTTCAACGGCTCCCTGGTCAGACGCTCCTCACCTACGTCAATGACCATGAAGAGGCCTACAGGAAGCTCTTGGCACACAAGGTGAGCCTTCCTGATGAAGTCCAAGGTTGGCACCTCCTCCGTCGTGCAGCGCTGACGAAAGAACAGCGACAACTCCTGATGCTGAAGGCACCCACCCTCGAGAAGGCCACAGTCATTGAGGCCATGTACCTGATTCTTGGACAAGACTACAAGGGTGGAGGTTGGAACCACGACCGCAATCGGCGATTCTCCAAGTGGACCAACAAGGCCTACACTGCTCAGGACGATTGGGAGGAGATGGATGAAGAACCAGTCTGGGAGGAGACTGGCTACTACGAGGAGGACTACCCCATCGGGGACTATGACCATGAGGAGGGTGATTTTGATGATGAAGCTGGTTACTATGGAGGTCAGGACGACGATGCACCCTGGCCGGACTCCAATGAGACCACGAGTCCAGAGCAGATGGCTGAAGAGTTTGACACTGCCTTCGCCTCCTACACAGACGCTCGCAAACGCTTCAATGAGTTGAAGATGGCTCGTGGCTTTCTCCCTGTGGTTGCACTCACTGAGCAACAGCCTCTGCAGACAGCGGCTTCTTCGTCCTCATCCCCTACGGCATCCTCATGGCAGAGAAAAGGAAAAGGAAAAGGGGGAAAGAACAAAGGAAAAGGTCGTGGCCCCTCGGCGACCATTCGCTTCTCCCCACAAGGAGCTGGAAAGAGTGATCCAAAAGGAAGAGCACGCGCCAACATGACGTGCCTTCGTTGTGGACAACAAGGTCATTGGGCTGCAAACTGTCCACAATCCAGCTCGCCTACCTCAAAGGGCTCAAGCTTGAAGCGACCTGCACCAACCGAGAGTATGGCACAAGTGGCTGAACAAGCCCTGATCATCTTCGAGGACAAGAACGGCACTCAGCGTCCTGACTGTGTGATGCTGGATCCTGGTGCCAGTGCCTTTCTCTCAGGATATGGTCCCTTCCGTCGCTACTTGGAGCACCTCAAGTTCGACTGCAACTTCCCCATTGAGAAGATTGCCATGACCCAAGGAAAACGAAGATTCCAGTTCGGTGGCGATGCTGCATCTTGGTCTACCTGGTCGGCACACCTCCCAGTGTTCCTGGATGGTCGCTATGGAACAGTGCAGTTGTTCCTCTTGCCCGGCAACACGCCTATGTTGTGCGGTCGCCCCATCATAGAGGCTCTTGGCATGACCATGGACTTTGCCATGAAGCGGATTCGCATTGGCAGTTCAAGTTGGCAAGAAGCAACCATTGGCCGTCAAGGTGAGTATTTGCTCTCGCTCACGATGGAGCACGACCTTATGCAGTACGACCCTGACCAGCCTGACTTCGCCCTCAAGACCGCTGAACCTGATCTACCTCAGATTGATGGCTTCACCCTGCACGACTTTGAGCAGGAGGAACAAGGGTTCACAGTCAGTGAACGAGCTGAAGTGGTGGACGACACTGCCACCAAATGTCTCCGACGACATGACCTCAACACCATGGACGTGCAGCTCAGGACTCACCTCAATGAGCTGTCAGCCTATGTGACACGTCACCTACATCCTCCAGAACAACAGCCGAAGCGTGTCCTCTGGGAGGTCTACTGCGGCTCAGCTCGCACTTCACAAGTGGCTGAAGCGCTGGGGATGAGTGTTCGATGTTTCTCATTGGATACTGGCTGGAACTTAGATCGACTTGATCATCAAGAAGCCTTCCTTCGTGAGCTCGATGAAGAAGCACCAGATGAGCTACTCATGGCACCTGAATGCAAGCTCTGGAGCCGCATGCAAACCCTGGCACGAAGAACACCTGCACAGCAAGAAGCACTGATTGCAGCTCGACATCATCACCATGATCGTCATCTGTGCTTCGTCCGCCGTGCCTACCTCAAGCAAGTTGAAGGTGGACGACACGCCCATGTGGAACAGCCCAAGCATGCGCTCTCCTGGAAGACCAAAGCACTTCGTGACTTACCTGGTCGTCGCGCCGATTTTGACCAATGTCGCTATGGAGCAACATGTCAAGATGAAGACATGGTCTGGCGCCCAGTTAAGAAGAGCACCACCATCATGACCACCAAGCAGGCAATGCAGAATGCCCTCACGCTGACGTGCAATGGCGAACACGATCACTGTGCACTGGAAGGATCTGCTCTTGGTCTTGGCCCTCGCACCAAGTACATGGAGAACTACCAGCCTGCACTTGCAAGCACCATTGCTTCTGCACTCCTCATCGATGAAGCACCTCAAGCTTGCGAGACGGCGCACACGTCTTCAGAGCAGAAGCTGGTGACTGGCAACTTGGTCAAGCTGCGTGTTGATACGAAACAAGAGGCCATCCGAGTGGTTCAACGTCTCCATAGAAACCTTGGTCATCCTTCCACGAAAGAGCTCACCGAACTGCTGGCCGCTCGAGGAGCGAATGAAGAAGTACTTCGTGCTGCACGCACCTATGTTTGTGTGGCTTGCGCTAAGTACAAGAAGCCTGCAGATGCTGCACCGGCATCTCTACCTGTGAGCACCAAGTTCAACGATGTTTTGCAGGCAGATGTCTTCTGGCTGCGTCTCAAGAATGCCGTCAAGTACCCCGTCCTCAGTGTGGTTGATTTGGCAACTCGCTACACGGCAGCCATCCTGTTGCGCTCAGAGCAATCCGAGGAGCACATCCGTGGTCTTGAACGTTGCTGGATTGCACACTTCGGAGCCCCACAGCGACTTGTCACTGATGAAGGACGTGGATGGCTTAGTCAGACCTTTGAGACCTGGACCAACGCCCACGGCATTGAGCACATCGTTGCCCCTGGTGAGGCACATGAACGTCTGGCCATCGTTGAACGAAGACATGCCATCCTTCGCAAGTCCATTGAGGTCTACATGGATGACATGCAACTGAATGACGCCTCTGGCATCAAGGAGTCGCTTACCTACTGTGTGCCCCAGATGAATGGCACGCCCTCAGTTGCTGGCTTCTCTCCGACCCAATGGGTTCTTGGACACCAACCTCAACTTGCTGGCAGTCTTCTTGGTGACAACTTCCGCCCTGGACACTTTGGCGGACACGAAGCCTTTGAGGCCATGCTGAACAAGCGCACTGCTGCTCAGAAAGCTTTGATCGAAGCTGATGCCGATCGTCGCCTTCGACGTGCTCTTGGTGCCAAGTACAAAGGCTTGAACTCCGAGTACAGCCTTGGTCAACAAGTTTGGTTTTGGCGTGACGCCAAACAGCCCGATCTGGTGAAGATTCGTTGGCTTGGCCCTGCCCAGATTGTCATGAAGGAGTTCAAGGCTGATGACACTGGACAGCAGCGAGTGAATGTATACTGGCTGGCCTACAAGACCCAGCTGATCCGCTGTGCACCTCACCACGTCCGTGCTGATGTCAAAAGCTCAGGACATGCCCTGGATGATGTGCAGAAAGCTCTCACTTCGGTTCGTCAGCTCAAGTCTCGAGGAGTGACCAGGTACTATGACCTGCACAACTTGAACAAGCGCAACCTCGCAGAGGTCGAGACAGATGAGCACTCCGAAGAGCTTCATGGTGATGTGATGGAAGAAGACTCTGACCACGAGATGACACCACCAAGACGACGACCACGCCTACTGCCACCTGGCGTGGAACCTCCTCAGGCCTCAGAAACTGCTGCAGCACCGACCTCCATGCCACCTGGCATTTCATCGGCGGCACCGGCAGTACCCTCGGCTGAGGAGTACGAACCAACATCACCAGCACACACAGAGCCACAAGACATAGCATCACCAGCGGCAGCGGCAGATACAAACGACACGGCAGCGGCAGATACACAAACCCCAGGTCCACTACCACGGGTCCCAAGCTCGATCTCAATATCCGAGCCAAGCGAGGAGCCGCCTGCCATCTCGGCAGCTCCAACACCTCATGCATCACGACCACAAGCAAGCATGACCCAGGAGCGACCATCGCTCGATCCGGTGACCGCCCAACTGTATGAGACAGTTGAAGGTGAAACCTTTCAGCAGAGGAGAGCCCGACTGAATAAGCAGGAGACTCTCAGCTTCGCGCCTTTCCGAAGCAGACCGAAGCCACCTGACACGAGGCCATATGATCCTGAACATCATCCACCACGACCAAATGACGAGCATGAGCTAGCTGGCCAGGCCTTCTACCTGGACGACCTGGACACCAAAATGCTGCCCAGCGGATGGTTCATGGATGAACATGGATTCCTCCAACTACATGATCGCACCACCGACTACTGGGAGCTGAAAGCTGGCTGTCTGATCAGGCATCATGTTGTGCCCCGTCGTGGACGCCTACATCTTGAGCATCTTCCCAAAGATTGCCCGGTCAATCCTGACCAGCTGGACAGTGTGCGTGTGACACTGATACACCAAGGTGGAGGCAAGAGCCGTTTGACCACTGATAGCGGCTACGATGGCAGTCCTCCCCCTGAAGTTGAACACACCTGGACTGGAGCAACCATCTTCCAGCTCCACGGCAATACTCGCAGAGAACTTGCTATGTACAGTGGACACCAACAGTTCACAAGTGCAAAACAGCAAGGAAAGGACCAAAAGCTCGCCAAACAGAAGAAGTTCAAGAAGGACAAGAGCGCAGTGAATGAGCGGGCATTGGGTCCACAAGAGCGAGCGATGTTCAAGGAGGCCAAGGTGAAGGAGTTGAAAAGTTTCTTTGACCACCATGTGTGGATCTTCCAGTCCACCAAGGAGGCAGACCCATCCAGGACTTTGACGTCAAGAATCCTGTTGAAGTGGTCTCGGAACCCTGACGGTTCTCCAAGGGCGAAAGCTAGATTGATCGTGCGCGGTTTTGCTGACCCCGACGCCCTGGCTGGAAGCATTGAGACATCAAGTCTCACCACAACTCGCCTGTCTCGCTCTATGTTGCTGTCCCTGGCTACCACTATGCACTGGACCACCTGGACCGCTGACGTGAGCACCGCCTTCTTGCAGGGGCGTGAACAGGACAGAAAGTTGTGGGTAAAGTTGCCATCGGAAGCGCTGGCTCTCTTGGGTGCAGATGAAGACACCCGCATGTTGCTTCTGAAGCCTTGCTACGGCCAGATCGATGCGCCCAGAGGCTGGTATCTTGAGGCAGTTGATCGCCTTCGCCGTGGAGGTCTTCGGCAACACGCCCTCGATCCATGTGCATTTCTCATCTATGAGACTGGTGATGACAACTTCAATGAGCACGACCCCATCCACCAGCAGGTCAACTCACTGGGATCTGAACGCCTGGTGGGCATGGTCATCATGCACGTGGACGACCTCTTGGGAGCCGGCTGCCCGAACAGCCCTCGATATGCTGCAGTCGTTGAACAGCTCAAAGAAAACTTCTCCTTCCGGGAGTGGAAGGAAGATCTCGATGTGATGGAGTACTGTGGTTGTGAGCTGCAGCGCACACCTGAAGGTGGAAGAAAATTGCACCAAGGCAAATACTTTGACAAGGTCAAGCCCATTGCCCATGACAAGAAGCTTCCTCTCCACCAGCCGCTCAACGAGCGTGAAGTGACTCAGTTGAGAGGCCTACTTTTTTCACTGCAGTGGCCCGCAGTACAGACCTCACCACATTTACAGTGCAGCACATCGTTGATGGCCGCCCATGTCTCCCATGCCACTCTGCAGACTGTCCAGGACTGCAACAGGCTGCTGAAGTTTGCAAAAGAGAACAAAGACATTGGCCTTGTCTACAACCACCTCGGTCCCACAGAGAAGTTGCGTTTGTTGTGTTTCTTTGATTCTGGTTTCTCCACTCGCCTCGATGGGTCATCGCAAGGTGGCTATGTGTTGATGATGGTCAACGAGGACCTCATGCATTCCGCCGAGGAGGGAGAATATCACATTTTGGATTGGCGCAGCTTCAAAACCCCGAGGGTGGCAAGGTCATCTTTGGGAGCTGAGGCACAAGCTGGCGGTCAAGCCAGCGACGCCGTTGACTTTGCTTGTCGGTTTTGGCACCATCTCATGGAGCCCCACATGCCCTTGAAGCAGTTGCTGGAGGTTCAGTCCTCCCTGAAGCCTGTGATGATCACAGATGCGAAAGCTCTCTACGACGCTTTTCATCGTGAAGGTGCAAGCTCATCCGTCGTGGACAAGCGTGTGAGCCTGGAGATTCGTGTGATGAAGGAGCGCTTGCTGGAACTTGGGGGAAACCTCAAATGGATGAGCAGCGATCGCCAGATCGCCGATGGCCTGACTAAGGAATCTGCTCGAACCTTGTTTGCAGCTCGCCTGAAGCACCAGAAGCTGAAGCTCACCTGGGATCCCACCTACAAGGCGATGAAGAAAAAGACCAAAGACGAGAAGAACACAGCCTTAGCTGAGACAACCTCCCAGGTCTATCACCAGAAGCCTGATGACTTCATCCCCAGGTCCGAGGAGATCATGGAAGAGGAGTTTGTTGGCCCGGAGGAGTTTGTGAACTTTGTTCACTCCACGGACATGATTCCGTATGTCCTCGCCACAAGCCATGTCGTGAAGAGCCGCATGAAGTGTGACATCAAGGGTCGCTCGAAGAATTTCATGTTTTGGATGATTTTCTTGTTTTTGCTGCAGTGCTGTCAAGCAGCACCTTCTACGTGTTTGGCGGATGAACCACCGCCACCACCGCAGCTGAGCGATGAGCACTGGTTGGCTCTCTTTGCAGCAGCACCCTTGGCGATTGCAGTGATCGCCTTCCTGCTGGGCCGATGGTCGAAAGGTGAAGAGAAAGAGAAGGAAGAGATGAAGATTGAAGAGGAGAAGGTGACCACCGCTGACGCCTTCACTCAGAAGGACGAGCCTGTTGTCCATGCACGACTTCGGGAAGCCCTGAAGACCGAGCAGGCCAGAGTGAATGAGTACAAGCTGGCAGCTCGCGAGTCTCGCCGAGCTGTGGATTTGGCCATGACGGAGATCCTCAACCTTCGTCCGCTCGTGCAGGATGCTGCACCCATGTTCCGTCGCCTGATCACCGCGATGGATGATCACATGGACCAATGCCCGCACCGACAGCCGATCGTAGCCTCCAAGAAGAATGGCATCTGCTGGCACTTTCCCACGTGCCACTGTGCGGAGCAGATCACCGAGCCGAACTTGCTGCAACTCCGCATCTGTGCCTACTGCGGAGATCATCGCAGTCCGCTCGACTTCCCGAGCCCAAATCCCTCTGTCTCGCAGGGAAACTGCTTGAGAGAAGAGGTGACAACGTGGCTGGCTGACTATAATGTTTGCCGGTCATGGTTTTCCGATCCGGAGCACAGGTAAGAACATCGCCTGTGTGAGTTGTACGCTGTACAACACGTTTTCACTTGAAGCACACCCGTCCGCACCGCAGGGCGGGCTTATGAGCTCAAAACAGGTTTCGGCCGCGACGCGCGCGAGCGCGTCCCAATTCGTTTTGCGGTGTGTCTTGGCCCTGTCGACTTCTACTTTCTTGGCCACCTGGACCTTGACTACACACCACCCGCTACGTTGGACCTCGTTTGCCATCGTTAGCTTCGCAAGTTGTTATGTTTTTGTCCTTCACGCAAGCGAGAATGCGCATATTGTACAATGTGTAGAAGAGCTGGGATGTAAGGAAGCATGTCCAAGGACAGGCTTCTCAGAACTGCGGACAGAAGCGGCTCCTGGTCCTATCACCGAAGCTGCTTTTGCTTCGAGCTGGTTTGCTTCAGGTGTTCAGCTTGGGGGTAGCAAGCTGGGTCCGTGATGAAGCGTCCTCGTCCCCCTAACCCCCCAGGCCCTAACCAGGTGTTTTTTCTCGTGTGATCCTCCAGGAGCGTGAAGGGCGGTGGGATTGGGCGTTGTGCATCATGAATTCCCTCCAAGACGATCGCAACTTGATGAGATGGGTTGGGGGATAGACGGCTGTGTGGAACTGGGAGGGATCAGAGGATCCTCGATAGATCTTCAGTTTATAAGCAGTTGAGGGCTCTAGATGGTTTGAGCAGTTTAAGGATCAAGCATATTTTGGCCCAACTGGCCCACCACAGCAGTCTTCTCCGTGAAATCCTGGGTGTTCCTTCTTCAGCTCCGAGAGGCCTGGAGGCCACGAGCATCACCTGCAACGCCGCCTTGAGCGCCTGCGGAAAGCGCGAAGAGTGGTCCACCGCGGTGGAGCTCTTTGCACGTGCGCAGCGCCAGGGCCTTGGCATTTCGGCACCGAACGGTGACGCCGCGCGCCACGGTGGTGAAGCGTTTTCTCCAAGTCGGAGATGGTGGTTTGGGATCAGGCGATATGGCAGTATGGGTACAAAACCTTGCAGGAAGATTCGGAAGAAGGCACTCGCAAGGGTGTCTTTTCTCAGATGAAATGATGTGGTGAAAAGCCGCTCATGTTGACTATGAACCTCCAGATGTTTGAGGCCGCTTCTCTCCCAGCCTCATCACCTTCAATGCCTTGATTGGCACTTGCCATTGGCGCCACTCGGCATCGAGGAACGCTTCGGACGCCTACAACTGCGTGTTTCTTGACACACACGCACACATGTGCAAATAATTTATAAATTGTCACTATATTGCATGCACGATCGTGCACATGTACTTCCAAGCATCGGCCCCACCAATTCAATGTTGAGCTTATGTTCAAGAACTTGCCATATGTGTAGTAGGCCCTATGGAGTCGTTGATACAGCTGTTTTTTGTACTTGGTGGGTTTGTAAGTTCCCATCCCCTGAGAGATGCTACGAACCTGCAGGGTTTCACATTTCACACACACACACACACACACATCTCCATCATTTTTCCTGCGAACTCGTGCAGGCAAGCCACATGTTGGTTTCGCACCTGCCAGGTCGTAGCCTGTGCCTATGGTTGAAGCTCAAGAGATCCTGGGCCGATTAGAGAGTCCAACTGAGTATCTATCCACGCCCGGGCCCACACAGACGGCATCAGACGGCGCACGCGGTGTGCAGTTGCCGCCCAGACGAGGGGCCCTCAAGACCTTCCAGGAAACACCTTTAAGGGAGCAGCCCAGAGAGCAAGTCGGCTGTCGGGGCATTGTGCGCAAGAGAAATTGTTGAAAACCATAATAAAACATGGTAGAAAAATTGATAGAATACCCATGGTTGTCGCTGGTTGGATGTTGTTTCCTCATGGTAAGTGCAATGAGCGAATCAGGAAGGATATGTCTGTAGCGCTCGTCAGCCAGATGACATGATAAAAACAAGTGGTTGTTTTGACCAAGGAGTTGGCTTAAGGGGAGATGCCATTACTTGCGTTTTGGCCGCATTGGGCTTTGCAGGCCGACTGTCCTATGGATTTTGAAGAGCAAGGGGACGCGTCCAAACTTTGCATCGATGTGTCAAGACAATCGGCCCTCAGACCGTAAAAATATCGATTGAGGATGGGGAGTTAACACCCCAAACCCAAACTTGTGGGATGTGGCTGTGTGCGACAAACCCTTGTCAAGCGTAACGCGGGGGCTCGCAGAGACAGCCTTCTTTGATGCCCTAAGACACCCACCACCCAGGTCGCTGGAGACTCGCTCGCTGCAAAGAAACATCAAGAACACCCAGGTTGCCCGAGACTCCTCGCAGAAAATCACGGATCATCTGAACTCCTTGTTGTTCTTCAGAACCGGTACCCGACCGGTGGACCGGGTGAACCCCGGCGGTTCCACCCGAGGCAGCAGCGCCATCAGCTCGGTCGACACCGCGTCTTGGCCCAAAGCCTTGGGCCTTTTCGGCACCTGGGCAACAAGCGATCCAGTGGAAGGCGGACCAGCGAAAACCGGTGGTGGTCGACCGGAAATAGTTGGACTGGAGGATCTGAGTGAAGCTGTTCTTAGTCTGGTGATGGATGTATATGGAAATTCGACAGATCCCCTTGTGTCACCAGCTTTGTAATTTGGAATCTGGAATGTTGACATTGGTTTGGTGGTTGAGTGCACCTAGGAGGTTGGGATGCTCGGACTCCAGGTGTGCTCCGAACAGTTCTTGGATTGTTGGAAAACAGTTCTTGCTGACTTGATGTTGTTCAGAACTTGTCCGCCATCAATTAATACTGCCAATACCACGTGGACCACGACCACGCGTACTTTTCGTGACCAATTGTAATAAAATATAGTGTAAATATATATATATAGTTCTGTGGTGAAGTGCAACTGCAACAAGCTTTCCAGCTTGCAGCTAAAGTTTCTGTTGGAGAGGATCCAGCATTGCAAGAACTGATTGATCTTAGACTGGCGGTTGGCTTCCCATGCTTTCCTACTTGGGCTCGGGCTCCGAACTTTTCACTGTGTTGCTGCCCCCAGCTAGCAATGTCCCTTCCAGGGTGTTGCTGGATTGAGAATTGTTTTGTGCAGACTCCTTTCTCGAGCTCATTTGACCAAAGGTGAGATGCCGCTGTTGAGCATCGAGGTCAGCCACTTGACCCGAAGCTCCTGGGCTCAATAGCCATGGGCAGGTGGTCAATGGTTCCAACCCTCGCTACTGGTGCTTACTTAGTGCTTCATACTAATATACAGGGGTATCAGGGGTGTATATAGCATCAGGGCAAATGGCACTCAATACAACGTTATACTAATTGTTTTGTCGTATTGATCCTCCTAATGAGGCCCTATCACACATACAATATTAAATAATCTGCAAGTCATGAGTCGAGATTAATGCTGCATGATCAGTTCATGCGGATTGACGTTGTTTCAGGTGCTACTGCCATAGCATAGCATAATTTTTTAGCGATGTGTTAACTGCATTGAGACGATCAGACATCTGTGTTTTTGCCAAATGTCTAGGATTTGGATGACTTGGCTCGAGCTGACCAGTAAAAAGCTTGTAGGCGCAATTGGCCACAGGCAGGTGCCAAGAAAACGCCATGCTTCCAGCCTTGTTCATTGCCATGGTGTACGGCGCATTGGCCCAAGACACTCGTCAGACGACGCGCAGTTTTGCCACCTTCACAACAGTGAGCACAAGGGAGACTATTGGGTAGTGGTAGATTGATGTGTTTGCGCGGTCGTAGAAAACGGATGTAAAAAAGAACAAAAATAACTTCAGCCTCAACTTGTTCCTACGACAAGAGAGAGAGAGAGGGAGAGGGAGAGGGAGAGGGAGAGGGAGAGGAGAGGGAAGGGAAGGGAAGGGAAGAGAAGAGAAGAGAAGAGAAGAGACATAGAGTAAACCGTGATAAACCGTGTACATGACAATTTCTATGCATTCTTGTGGCATCTCAAGACCTGTTAAGGCTGCTCCTGTTTTTGGTCGTTGTGCACGCTTCGCACTCGAAGAGTGCTTCAGGATGCTCCATCCCACGCGGGCTGCTTCGTGAAAAATGGCACGACAATGCTGGCAGTGAAGCTCACTTATGATGGCAACCTTTTCGACATCCCAGGTGGGAGCCTGGAAGTCTGGAAGGGCATGGCTGCCACGTTTGCTTTGGGTGGTCCTACCCACCCGGGACTCAGAAGACCTGACGGAAGCGTGAAGCGTGTGTAAGATTCTAGTAAGTGCAACATATACTTAACATGTATATCGTTCTTTATTATGTCAAACAAATCGAGCATTGACTTCATGCTTGGTTTAATGTCGCCCTCCCAAACCAATTCCTAACCCACGAGGCGGTCGCACCGATGGCCACGAGCCAGCGACCCGGACGGCGGAGCGCGAGACCTTTGAGGAGTCGGGCTACCAGGTGCCGTCTGAGGGGACTGGACTGAAAAGAGGCGAAGCGGTCTGAGGTTGTGGGAGCTACATCAAGGGAAGATAGTGACCATTGGGACCTCGCTATTTTGGGCTTGAGAGTGTTCCTTTCTTGATTTTGGGACATCGCAGTGGACATGTGATGGTTGTTGGACATGGAATGGTCGGCAGCCTTGGTGAATAGCACAGCCAGCCTGAAATAGCACGCCACACGTTCAGGTCTCGATCGGCGAGCTTTTGGCCACCGTCCGCGGGGGCTTCAGAATCTACAACTGCTACCTGCAGGGGTCCAGCCCCAGGAGGGCCCCGGGGTGTCACGGGCAGGGTGTTTGAAGGTATGCTGTTTGAAGGGACGAGACAGATTGGGGGTTTTGAGGAGGTGGTTGAGGGCCGAACGGGGTTCAAATACCCCACGGTTCAATCGTGTTCAATCTCCCCGGTGGCAACCATCTGTCGTTTTTGAACTCAGCGAGCCTGTTACCCTTACAATCGGCTTTTCAATGCTTTTCAGTTCATATTGTTTTGCTAATGATAGGTTGAACTGATCGAACACTGTGGAAATTGGACTGAATTGCTTGGCAATATATGGGCTTGTCTTTTTTTAAGGTGTCCAGTTTATGTAGGGCTGGGATGTTCGACTTAGGCGAAGCATACCCCGAAGCATACCCCCGAAGCATACCCTGAAGCATACCCTCTGGAAATGCTACTACTTTAGTCTTCACACTGCGCGAAGCATACCCCGAAGCATACCCCCGAAGCATACCTCCGAAGCATACCCCATAGTCAAACATCCCGACCCGGGAACCTTAAAAAAATACAAACCCATATACATCCGCGTGTATGTGGTAGAGTGTATTGTATGGGAACTATGCTGGGTACCGTGCCCCCACCCGACACAACGGTCAACGAGAGTCATACTCCATGACTCCATGGGGACTCCATGGGATAGCATATGTCAGATGTAACTTGTAACCAGCAACCGGCCTCCTGGTAGAAAAGCATAATTGTTAATGTTGCCTATCAATTAAGTGGCTTTCGCTAGGATCTCAAGAGAACAACTTTTGTGCTTGGCCATGATGATCATGATGCTTTTGGTCCATCAGGATGGAGGGTAGTTTGTCGTGTTTGGCCATCCTTCCTGCTCAGTTTGGTACCGCAGATTCTCACCGTCAATCCCCGCAAATAGCTGCGAAACTACAGGAAGGGTCCTGACCATGAAGTGTCAATGGTGAAGTGGATGGACGTTGGAGAAATTGAAGGCAGGGCGGCTGTGATTGGGAACTGCCTGCTGAGTTGAGAGAACCTCATGCAGCAAGCAAAGGGGGTTGGAGTGCACAACCCGCAACTCGATGGCTGCGGGTTGGTGAAACCACCATCCATTGCGGCATTATGCGGCATTTGTGCCCTCGGTTTTCGGTGCGGTACCTTGTCAGGACTTAATCAGGTGGTTGAAGGATTGAGCAATGTTCCTCCACCGATGTTCCTCCACCTTGTGCCGCTGTTCTTTGACACGTTCCAGGGCCTTCAGAGACGTTTCGGTGCGGTTCAGCTCAGCTAAATAACTTTTTTTCTGCGGAGTGTTGATAGGGGATGGGTGGAGAAGTAGTTGTACAGCCAGTGGAACTGGCGATATGAATCCAAATCGATCTGCATTATAGGTGTTTTGGACCATTGGACCTTCAAGCCTCGAAACAAGCTTCGGCCGCCACAAATCAAGGAGCCAATCCCCCCGGGGACCAACTACCCAGGGCTCGCCGTGAACTCGGTGACCGTTGGCAGGACACCTTCAGCACCATGAGTGGCGATTCCAAGAGGACCAAGCAGTCCTTTACTTGGATTGGCTTGTGGGTGAGCACAATCACAACCGCAGGCTTAGCATCCATGTTTGAGGCTGCTTTGCAGTGGATGTTCATACAGGATGGCACCGTTGGAGTGGATGTTTGTGAAGGGTTTGAGCACCCTAATCCCCAATACACGTTGCATTTTTTTGGAGAAGGCAAGTGGCAAGATTTGAGAGAGCCTGCCAGTTAGGCATCTCACTAATCTTACAGACCTCTCCTCGCCTTTGTCTTCCAAAGAAGGGAGACACAAGGCCATTTTGAGCTAGATACAACATCTAGCTGGCAATTCAATTTTTGGTCCTCACTGCGTTCACTGCAGACAGAGGCACGAACTGTTGCAGGTTGTACCACCACGATTCGTGGCATGTGATGTCATGCCAGAAGCAATCCAGGCGAGTGAATGTGAGAAGAAAACGGTC